CTTTTGGGTGGCTGCTGCCTCTAAACATATCGTGCTCATGTGCTGCTCAGTAAGATTCAGTATTTATTATTTACTGTTATTTATGCTTATGTTGGTCGTTACTGTGGTTTCCCTACTGTGTTTTCGTTTTGCTTGTTTGCTTGTTTTTTTTAGCAACTGGTGAAGCAGATTTTCAGTGTCTTTTCTCTCTCTATCCCTCTTCTCCATTTTTCTTTCCCTATCTTTCTGTTAACTCTCTTCCCAACTTCTCTTTTCTTCTTATTTCCTTTTCCCACCCCCGTTCTGATTGTAATAACTTAAAATAAAAAATAAAGATAAAAAAAACTATGACAATCAAGTGGGCCAGTATAGCAATAGGTCCACTTGGAAAAGTAAATCTGTTTGGCATTTTATCTTGGGCTTTAAACAATAATTCGGATTGCTAGAGTGCGGACAGGAGAGGCAATAAACAACAACAACAAAATACCCCCCCCCCAAACCTCCACAACAGTGTAAGACACTGATAAAGGAACTGTTTTCTGTATAACTTTAAGTTATTACTGCTGAAAGGGCGTCTACCCTACAATAATAGGCTATCCTTAGAGTTTTTGTTAAATAAACAATGCCACAGTGGCATGGCATGTTTTGTTGTTCATTTGAAGTGGTATTTACTTCATTTTAAGAAACGCTAAGGACCATATTATTTTTGATTATGTCTTGATAGATTAAACCTTGCAAATGAAAGAGTGTACTTTCTTTTTTTAAAACCACGATTGCAAATGTTAAGGGCATTCACACTTAATGCTTAATTGGGGGACAAGATCACATCACGAATATACTCAGTAGACCAGCAGACGGTGCTGCAAACCCACAGATAAATACTGAAAGGTGTTTGGAGGATCTGCTTTCATAAAATGGAGAGTGAGTCTGCATCCATAAAGAACAAATATTGCTGCTCAGCGTTTTAGGACACTAGAATGTGATGCCATACATCATTCCAAAGATAAATTAAAAGCTTAACCTGCAAATACATTTCATGTTAGCATTTGTTAAAATGGCAACAATAAATATAGACTTAACAGTCAGTTGCTGCTTGGAAACCTTTTCATGGCAAACATTTACTTCAGATTTATGTGCTGCGGTTCTCCCTCTCTCTGAATGTATGTACGTACGTATGTAGAGAGTTATAGCATTTTGACTGACAAATGACTTTTGAATTACTTTTTTGGCGAATAACAGGTAGATTTAAGAAATATACAGTAAACCATCCTAATACATGGATACTAGGTATGTCATTCATTTCCTGTTTGTATGATATAAAAAGCAGGAGCAAAGTGTTGTCTTTGTCCTGCATGCTGTGCAGAGCAATTAGCAAAAGAAAAATATCTCCTGACTCGTTGAGTAAAAAACGATTTTGACAATCCAGCTAACAGAATTCTCAGATTTGGAAGGATGCTTTCAGAGCAATTGTGGAGTTAAAGTTGCCACAAGATATAATAAGTATGCAGGGAAGAATATTAATGTGGTAACCATGATCTCATAACATTAGACATCCTAGCTTCAAGCATTTGGTAAAAGTGGGAAACGGACTCAGAGTTCAGGTTATGGAGTGATGTCATGGAATTCAGGATAAGAATCTTCAGGAAAGACTGAGGCCAAATTTGAACAGTCTTTAGCCCTGCATGAAAAATCTAAGCCCCTTCATTCAGTTAAAATATGTAAGAGTACTCTGGACTTCAGTGTGGGGCAAAGGTTCATCTTCAAATCGGGCAACTCTAAGCACATACCCAAGATAACAAAGGAATAACTTCAGGATGGCTCAGATTTGGACAGACTCAGAACCCGATTTAAAATCTCTGGAGAGATCTGAAAATCTATCCAACCTTATGGGAGAAACTGGCCAGAAATAGTCTGGCCATAGTCAAAAAGACTTGAACCTTGTAATTGCTGCCAAAAGTACTTAAACTATTGAGCAAAGGCTGCAAATACTCATGTAATAAATGTGCAAGAATTACAAGCAAACCTTTTTCATGCTGTCATCATTGTGTATAAAATGTTGAACTGAAAAATGAATTTACTCCATTTTTGAAATAAGGGTGTAAAAGTCAAA